CTCTCTCTCTCTCTCTCTCTCTCTCTCTCTCTCTCTCTCTCTTTTGGTCTATGACTGTCATAAAAATCTTATCTATCCCCGCCATACTAGGATGGCAGCCCCCAAAATTGTGTTTTATTTGTTTTTCCCCCACTGGCATTACAAGTTAAAGCAGATAAAAATGCAGGGCCAAGAACAGGAATGAAAACCTGTCTCCTTTCCCGGCTTAGACCAAAATTTGTGTTGTGATGGTGCCTATTTAAATTCATGCATCATGGTTGCTACCTCCATTATATGTAATTCCCCATGCATCGCTCGACCTTAAAGTTTTGCCTCCTGCTTTGTGAGTGTGCATTGAGGGAGAGAGAGGAATAATAAAGAGGAGTTTTACAGGAATAGAATAGAATAGAATAGAATAGAATAGAATAGAATAGAATAGAATAGAATAGAATAGAATAGAATAGAATGAGCCGAGGTGGCGCAGTGGTTAGAGTGCAGTACTGCAGCTACTTCAGCTGACTGCTAGTTCAGCAGATCAGAAGATCAAATCTCACCGGCTCAAGGTTGAGTTAGCCTTCCATCCTTCCAAGGTGGGTAAAATGAGGACCCAGATTGTTGGCGGCAATATGCTATTTAATATACTGTCTTTGGTGTAAGCCGCCCAGAGTCCCCGGAGAGTGGGCAGCATAGAAATATGACTAAAAAAATATATAATAGAATAACAGATTTGGAAGGGACCTTGGAGTTCTTCTAGTCCAGCGGTCACCAATTAGTGGTCCGTGGATCACTGGTGGTCCACGAGAAAATTTTGGTGGTCGCAGAAAAATTATTTGCATTTTTAACATTGCACTAAATCAGGGGTCCTCAAATTATGGCCCCTGGGACGGATACGTGCAATGAACGTTTGTGTTGCTACAGGGAGTCTCCCCCTTAGAGGTCTTTTTGTGTGGGTCAGAGGGGGGCAGAAATTCCGACTTGGGGTCTGCTTCAGCCTCCTGGTGTGAGGCTTTGGGCAAAGGCTGGAGAGAAGCGTCGCTGGTGGCAAAGAGCCGGAGGACCTTGTTCCAGTGGGACTTCAAAATGGCCTGGAACTGGCTGACCATCTCAGCCTGCTGAGCCTCCAGGCACTGGTACCTGGCCTTGCACTCCCACAAGTCTTCCCTCTACTTGGAAAGCCTATGCTCGTAGTCCTCAGTGAGGTGCTTCTGCTGAGCCTCCTTCTCGGTCAGATCCAATTTGAACTGAGCTGTTTTGCCAACTCTTTCTTATGGTGGCTGCTTAGCTCCAACAACCGCTTCCTGTTGGGGTCCTAAGGAGTCCAAGCAGAGAGGCGAGCATCTGGCCATGCCCACCCAGTCAAAATGCCCATCTAGCCACGCCCACCCAGCTGGTCATTAGGCAGATCATATTAGTAGTCTGCGGGATTTAAAATTATGAATTTAGTGGTCCTTGAGGTTCGAAAGGTTGGTGACCCCGTTCTAGTCCAACTCCCTGCTTAGGCAGGAAACCCTACACCACTTCAGACAAATGGTTATCCAACATCTCCTTAAAAACTTCCAGTGTTGGAGCATTCACAACTTCTGGAGGCAAGTTGTTCCACTGATTAATTGTTTTAACTGCCAGGAAATTTCTCCTTAGTTCTAAGTTGCTTCTCTTCTTGATGGGTTCTTGTCCTACCCTCAGGTGTTTTGGAGAATAGCTTGACTCCCTCTTCTTTGTGGCAGCCCCTGAGAAATTGGAAGACTGCTATCATGGCTCCCCTAGTCCTTCTTTTCATTAAACTCATCACCTCTCGTCTGGACTATTGTAACGCTCTCTACATGGGGCTCCCCTTGAGGTGCACTCGGAGACTCCAACTGGCGCAGAGTGCGGCCGCGCGGGTGGTTATGGGAGCAACGTGGAGCTCCCATGTAACACCTCTCCTGCGCGAACTGCACTGGCTCCCAGTGGTCTTTCGAGTGCGCTTCAAGGTTCTGGTTACCACCTTTAAAGCGCTCCATGGCTTAGGACCTGGTTATCTACGGGACCGCCTGCTACCACCAATAGCCTCCCACCGGCCAGTACGCTCCCATAGAGAGGGGCTCCTCCGGGTGCCGTCGGCCAAACAATGTCGACTGGCGGCCCCTAGGGGGAGAGCCTTCTCTGTGGGGGCACCTACGATTTGGAACGAGCTCCCCCCGGAGATACGGAGGATCCCGGATCTGCGCACCTTCCGTCGCGCGCTTAAAATGTTTTTATTTCATCAAGCTGGCCTGGTCTAAATCTTCTCCCTTTAAAAATTTTTAAATTTAAATTTTAAACACTAATTTTAATTTGTTTAATTATGGGATATTTTTAAAATTTAGCCAAATTGTTTAATCTGTTTTAATCTATTTTAAATTTTGTATCTCTGTGTTTTATCTTTTGGCTGTTCAGAGGTGTTCAGAAGTGTGGCCTTACCAAGGCATTATAAAGGGGTATTAACACTTCACATGATCTTGATTCTATCCCTCTGTTTATGCAGCCTAGAACTGTGTTGGTTTTTTTGGCAGCTGCTGCACACGGCTAGCTCATATTTAAATGGTTGTCCACTAGGACTCCAAGATCCCTCTCACAGTTACTACTATTGAGTAAGGTACCAGATATACTGTACCTGTGCATTTTGTTTTTCTTGCCTAAATATAGAACCTTACATGTAGAATGAGGAGCAGAAGTTAGCTATTGTATAACAGCTTTGATTTTTAGAAGGTAAATGGGAAAGTGAGATCTGAGCCTTGAGGGATCCATGTTCAAGTCTCCACTGGAGGAAGAAGTCCCTCTGATGACTTTTTTGACTAGCTGGGATGAATCCCTGGGGTCAGCATAAAAGGGAATAAAACTTTGCTTGCTTCAGGGCAGTCAATTATTTGAAACCACGGTAACATTCTGACTTTACCGATTGCAATTTTGGTCAAAAGTGATGTTGGATCCCTGATTTGATTGCAGTTGCCTACTGATTTGTTTCTGTCTCCCATCTAAACACCTATTAAAATGTAGGCCAATCAACTGCAAACAGAAGCAGTTAGAAAAAAAGGAGGAGAAGCCAGGCACAGTATTTACCAAATCAACATTGTTGATCTGTCTCAAGACAGATGTGGCTTGTGAAAGAGAACCCATGGTTAAAACAAACCACAGCTTAGCGTGAACTCGCATTGCTGTTGTAGCTAGACAACTGCACAGATGACTGAATTCCCAACCCATTACTGAGGCATGATTTGTTTTAACGATGGCTTGTTAATTGCATTAACTACAATTGATTTGGTCTTTGCAGCATGCTAAACCATTGACCACGACATTGTGACACATACTCTGTCAAAGTCCTTTCTGGTTTACTGGACTTTATGTCTCTTTCCTCTGCTTTCATATCAATACATCTAAGCCTTTCAAAGATATTTGTAGTCCTCTCGTACCTTGATGAAATCTACTTCCCTAAATTCTTTGGAGTTCTCTCCTGAGGAAGCTACCCATAAGTTTCTTCTGCAAATTGCCTTTCCTTTCAAGCCCCACCTCCGAGGTTGACATCCTCATGGAGGCCTCCTAGCCATTCAGCTGTTATGACCTTGGCTTCCTGAGTCATTAAAACACACGAGTAGTCCCAAAAATCTCTTTTATTGCAAAAGCTGTGAATTACGTTCATTCACAGCTGAATCCCAATTAATTGCAAAAAGTCCTTCGGGAGAAGTCCTTCGGGATAATCACCAACCTTTATCTCCCTTGACACTCTGCCAAAGACCTACTTGGCAAAGCCACACGGAGTCAAGAATCAAACAGAGAAGCCGACTGGGAACAGAATTAACAATGTTGCTTTCCTGCAAAGTGCCCACGTGCCTTTGCTCTTCCTTTATGTCTTATGGGAGGGGGCCAATCATCTCCAAGCCTTACTCCCGAGTCGTCCCTTTTGTTTTAACTGTTCATGCCTTCTGGCAGCTCTGCGCATGAGCACACTAGGAACAGGCTGTCTCTCTGCAGTCTGACTTTGGAGGCTCCGGAGTCCATGCATCACTCCCAGATGGCCCTGGCCCCATCTCTGCCTCTGATGCAGAGCCCTCGTCCGGGCCTTCCCCTGACTCCAGGACTGGCCCAAGTTCCTCCCCCGCCTCCTCACTGTCCGACTCTGCTGCCAGCTCCGCAGGCTGCTGGCGGACCACAACATCAGCAGGTTGCATCAGCAGGTTTCCAAACCTGTCATTTTTAAATTGGGGGATCTCTCCAGCAGAAAGCCCCAATCATGGGAGGTTTTTAAGAAGAAATTTGTCCATAATAGTATAGGGTCTCATGCTTCAGCAGGGGTTGGACTACAAAACCTCCAAAGTCCCTTCCAACTCTGTTATTCTTTATAAATCTCTCCACTCAGTCTTACCAAGAGAATGGTGATAAACAATATTCGGAAATATACATCAGAGTCTTCTGATAGCAAAATCTCATCTTATTGGCTAGTATCAAGGGGAAGATAACTTTGAAAAAGCTTCCTCTTTCACCATAACGTGCAAGATGAGGCAAGGAGTGGCTGGGAGGGGGAGGGGTGAGGAGAGGCCAGGTGAGGCACCCCTCGATGTGAGTGACATGGAGTTGGCCACGCCCACCCAGTCACATGACCACCCAGCCACGCCAAAGAACCGGTAGTCAAAAAATTTGAATCCCACCATTGGTCCCAATGTGCATTTCAAAAGGCAGTTGGATTTTCTTAGTTTTGTTTTTTTCTTCTTGAAAATGTTTTGCTTCTCATCCATTCAGTTCTGAGATCAGAATGAAAGAAACTTCTTGGATGAGAAGCGAAACAGACCAAAAAAAAAAGAGCTCAGTATCTCAGATAAGATACTCACTTATCTTTGGGTAAAACCATGACCTAAATGATTGAGAAGCTCCATAGACATATTCACAGCAGAACCGGAAAAACCTAAAAATGGCTTATTTTGTAGGGTTGGGGAGGGGGATGTCAGGGGGATTGCACTTGGCTTGCTCTCTGGATTTTCTCCTCTGATTATGAAACCTTTGTGTTGCAGGGGGGTTACGCAGCCTATCGGTATGCCCAGCCTACTACCGCTACCGCCACTGCCTACAGTGATAGGTAAGATTTCCTTTTTGTATTGAATAAATCCTTGACTTGGGAAGCACAATGCTCTTTTGGGCCCACCTTGGCTTTTGTGTCACTTTGCTCCATGCATAGCAAGAGCTTCTAGACTTGAAATCCATGAATAGCTGTGACTAAGGTTGGACGGTTCTTCTCCAGTGAGGTAGCCTGTATCTGCTCGGCATCCGTGCCCATCGTTACGATCAACAGCATCCCACATACCTGGAGGGTACCAGTTTGAGAAACTGGAACTCACCTACTCATCTATCAGGGCAAACTCTATTTGAGAGAAGCATTTGCAAAAGGACATGTTCCCCAAAGCAGTGCATTAGGGAAATGGGTATGCACGAACAGTAGAAGGGTACATGAAAATGCATGTGCGTTTTCCTGTGGCTTTTGAAAAATATTTACAAGCAAGCATGAAAATTAGATGAAACAAACAGAGGATAAGGAAAGCGAAAAGTGGAGGCTGCTATCCCTCCTCACTTCTCTAGTCTTATTTCCACAACATGTTTAAACCCCTTAAGCCACTGAATCAAGTCTTGGTATCAGAAGCAGGATGTACATCGAAGTAAGTCTGCATTAAAGCATTAATTCTGTAACAGTATAAGCCTGTTTGGGCTCTACTCAAAAGTAAATTTTCAGTGTCTTAGTTACTGAGGAGTAAACCTCACCTCTTACACCTCCGAGTCAACATACCTCAGACTGCCCTGTAAACAGAGCGTGCTTAAACTGGGTCATGAATTAACTTTTTTTTCTGAGTGCTACAATGCACTTAGCCATGAATGTAAAAAAAAAAAAAAATCCAGCTGTTTTTGAATAAGAGATGAAGCCATAGCAGAAACCTAAACCAAGATTAACAGTAACCATCTAGCTTCAGCTTATTGGAAAAAATGCAATTGCAGAGTTGTTCATCCACTAGGAAGGACCTCTGTAAACACAGTTATTGATTTCACCAGGGGAATTAAATCTATTATTCAGTGTCTCCCTTTGCAAACCCTGGAGTTTCTCAGTTCCGCCCATTAGCTGGAAATCAACAAGAACAGGCACCATCATGGCATCAGTGAATACCCAAGAGGACATTTGCAAAACTCCTAAATTAAATATTAGTTAAAATGTTTCTAAAATTAAAGCAGCTGAAATCTCACGGGATTGTGAAATCTGGTGAGAGCTGGGTTGTTTGTCTTTGCAAATGACACTGGAAAAAAAATCCATCTTGGAGGCAAGAATGCTGAATTCTTGAGATTTAGACATTAAAAAAAAAACACGAAGAATCTGATGCACGATACATTTTCAATTCTATACCTTACAGCCTCAAAATAAATTCAGCAGAAATCAAATCCGGTCCTTTTAAATACCAAACCGAATGGAAAATCCCATTAGGCCTGAATAATAGTTTTCTCTAGTTACGATTAAATCCACATTCAGCACTCAAAAGAAGGAGAGAAAGAAAGATGGGGGGGTGGGAAAGAGGTTTGGCTGTTAGCTAAGAGAAGGTGGTTTGGGGGTTTTTTTGCATTTCCATCACGAAACTAGGCAAGGTGATTTAGAACAAGAATCAGATTTCAGAGTTGTAGAGCTCTACTTTAGATGGAAAATAGTTTCAAGAAGCATTGCTTCCATTTTGAGGAAGAAAGAGACTGAAAAATAAGTGCCTTTAAAGGTGAAACTGTTCTTGGGTTGAGTGCCTAGATTCTCAAAAGTGCTGTTCATGGATCGGTTTCTTAAAAGAAATATAGATATATATTTATATATTTATGTGGAACAATGAATGTTCAAGCTCTTGCATGCTGTGTTGCCTTCCCAATGTGCTTATCATGTTCTGGCAGTGAAGACATACATGCACACATGCACACACACACACACACACACACACACATAAACAAACATGTTTGATGAATAAGACAAATTTTGCATGAGCTGGCTGAGGCATGCTGGGTTCTGACAGGTAAGCAAGGTAACCTATTTGTTTCGTTTGTTTTCCTGGGATGTCCGGATTCTTAGCCGTGTCACTCTGCTGTTTGTGCCTGATGCGCAGATGGAGATAGGCTTGGTTTCTTTTCTTTTCTTTTTCTCTTCGTTTCCTCTTGAGGAAAATGGATGGCAATGAAGCACAGCTCTAGAATTCACATTTCATTTTCCACAAAGGTGTCTCGTTGAGCATGTAGTCGCTTTTTTTTTTTTTTTTTTTAAAGGACTTTCTCTGTGAGCTTGCAATGCTGAGAAGATTGCTGGGTCATCGAGAGCAAACTGCCCCCAAGAGGCAGTTACTGATTTAGACAGCAGTCGCCAACTGGTGGTCCGTGGACCACTGGTGGTCCATGAGAAAATTTTGGTGGTCTGCAGAAAAATTATTTGCATTTTTAACGTTGCACTAAAACAGGGGTCCTCAAACTACAGCCCCTGGGACGGATACGTGCAATGAACGTTTGGGTTGCTGCAGAGAGTCTCCCGCTTTGGGGTCTTTTGTGTGAGTCGGAGGGGGGCAGAAATTCCGACTTGGGGTCTGCTTCAGCCTCCTGGTGCAGGGCTTTGGGCGAAGGCTGGAGGGAAGCACCACTGGTGGCAAGGAGTCGGAAGGCCTTGTTCCAGTGGGACTTCATCATGGCCTGGAACTGGCTGACCATCTCAGCCTGCTGAGCCTCCAGGCGCCGGTACTTGGCCTTGTACTCCTGCAGGTCTTCCCTCCGCTTGAAAATCCTATGCTCATAGTCCTCAGTGAGGTGCTTCTGCTGAGCCTCCTTCTCGGTCAGATCCAATTTGAGCTCAGCTGTTTCGCCAACTCTTTCTCCTGGTGGCTGCTTAGCTCCAACAACTGCTTCCTGTTGGGACCCTAAAGAGCCCAAGTGGGGAGACAAGGAACTGGCCACGCCCACCCAGTCACATGACCACCTAGCCATGCCCACCCAGCCGGTCATTAGGCAGATCATATTAGTGGTCTGCGGGATTTAAAATTATGAATTTAGTAGTCCCTGAGGTCCGAAAAGTTGGTGACCGCTAACTTAAGAGACTTAAAAAGCAGACCAATGAACTAGGAATGTTTCAATGTAGGGAATCATGTCTTTGCAAATGTCCTCCAGGTTCTCCGTCTTGAGGGGTTCCGGAGACAGCAAGGAGGAATGCATGGTGGCTGGGTGTACATCAAGGGATGTTCTTCAGCTTGGTTAAATTAGAAGCCGTGTGCAGGAAAGCACTAAAAACAGGTTTGCTAATAGGTTCATTTTGGAGATAGGGAAAACATAACTTTATGGAGATGACATGAGACAACGTGAGGTTTTGTTCCAGCCAATAGTAGCACAGGGGCTATATTAACCAAGTTATAAAACTGCGGAGTGTAGACACATTTAGGACATGGAGTATAACTCACAACTGTGCTTTCTCTCTTTGTGTACATCTGGTGGTGTTGCTCTCCCACAAAGGGTTGTTTGATCAACTTGCTGATTGATCAAGTGATGGAAATCATCTTCATTTCTTTTAGGTCCGGCAAGCAATCTGGGTAAGAAACGTCAAATCTAGTGCTCCTCAGTGAGGAAGGACAGACACGTGTTCAGCTGGAAATTCATGGTAGATAGGAATATGCAGGTGATAGCAGGTGTGCAAATGGGGAGGGAGATGATGCTACTAGTAGTTTCTCGTGAGAAAGAGAAGGACTTTGCCTCCACTTCTGCAAGGCACAGGGCAATGTGTGATTCATAAAACACAAACCTTTGGCAACCAGTGGCACCCACTATCCTAACCCTCAGAAACCAAGGCACCATTCCAGATTTATCCTTTAAAAAATCCCTCAATGCCCCTCAAATTTGAAGGCTCTTGGGGCGATAGTGAGAAATGGCTGTAAATAAATACCTTTGTGGAGCTCCAATCTATTGCAAAACTGTCTTCTAGTGTAGTGAAGTGAAAAGTGGGGAGAGGGAAAGACTATCCCACTCATGAATGAAGCATCTACACTTTGGTCCAGTTGTGATGATTTAGCCTTTTTTAGATGCTTTTGGCTTGAGGGTTGAGTCTTCGTGTACATATTATGAATGAAGCATTCCTTGGAGTGTAGAACAGAATGCAGTGTTGCTGGGACTGGCTTCGGGGTATCTGCTTGGTAAAATGCAATGGCTTCCACAATCAAACTAATTCGATCCAAAGTTGTCCATTCAATTCTAGAAAGATCTGTTCCAGGGTATTTAGAAAGGTCAGTGACCATTCTCAGATTTGCCCTCCCATTTCTCCATAAACTACCATTCAAGGTGAATTTGGAATAAGGATGTGCAAATTTTTTTTTACTACAGATAGATAAGGATAACAGTTGCCCAGGAAGTCATCAAACACGTGATGTTTCGAGTCCATTCCAGTGAGCAAAAGCAGAGGTCAGTTGCCCATAATGATAGGATTTTCTGAGCCCTTCAGTGGCCCATCCTTGAGTATTTCACTCATTTTTTTTTAATGATCTTGTACAGAAAGCTTGTTGTTCTTCCTGCTTTTGTGTAGAGGGAAGAAGGCAGCTGATCCCCCATGCCTGTGCCAAAGTATTGTGTGTAACTCAATAGCATAGGAAGAATTCTGTTAGCACAAATTCACAGGTGCCTTGGCATTCGTAATGTTGTTCTCTTGATTTTCTAGTCCTACCTTTTCAGTTTTCTGTGTTGTGTGGTTTAATTGTGTTGTACAAGATCCCCAGAGTCCTGCCTGAGAACCCATTTTCAGATCCCAATCTTATTTATTTATATATTCCAGCATTCTTCAAAGTAGCCTGCTTGGGATACTTAGGCAGCCTCTAGCCCTGTTCAGTCAATTGTCCGTGTGTACATCAATCCAGGAGAAACAATGATCTCTCCACATTATGTCTCAATGGAGTCCTTTTGTTTTCATCATAATTATCTGCAATAGGGGGCCCTTGCAAAGATATGTGCAAACCTCTGGTTCACCCTGGTGTAATGTGTTTATAATGTGCTTCTGCTATTGACCAAGGTGGTACAAGTCTCATGCTGAAGTCTAGAGTCATGCTA